ATTTAAAATCATAGTTTAGCTAATAGTGTACCATGATCTCAGTCGTTTCCTTTGCCAGTTGCAGAACGTCTCTGCAGTGGAGTTGCTTCTATGTGGAGACGTGAGAAGCTGGAAGGTGATATACCAAGAGATGGCGCTTTCTTCAAAAAAAAAAAAAAACATTGACTAGGATAGTTAGCTATAGATGATTATTGAAGGTTCTTTATCTTATCATATCAACCACATCAAGGCCACTGCTTTGATTTCATTTATATAAATACAACTGAATTGTATTTCACATTGTTTTCTTAGCTTGTGTTGTAAACTTCTTCATCCATTAAATATAAAAACTTAGAGTTAAGTTTTGAAAATGTCAAATAAATGCATAAAAGTTCAGTCAGGTGGACCATTCAGATATTTTACACCATTCTTCATCAGTAAACCACTCTTCATTCATCCATTTCATTCTAATCTAATAAATAAATACAATTTCAAAGAAAATTATTCTATCCTGCTTTCTCCTGTAACACAAACCAGATGTGAAGGTTATTTCTGAGACTTGTAAACTTGTAAACAAACTAGCCTATCGTTTGTTGGGTTTCTCCCACTCCCACTCCCCATCACTGACCTCCAGGACTGACACCTTGGTGCATGTATGCACGCATGCACGTTTATGCACGCGCGCGCACAGAACTGATACTTCCATCCGTGCTGGGAATGACTTCATTTTTCTTACTGTGTTTGAAAACAGGGAGAGTGTAATTGCTGACAGGGGCCGTGAAAACTGGAGGGTAAACCCATACCCCCTCACCTTTGAAGAAAGTTTGTTGTGATTTAACCCTTTCATGCATGAATTATGACAACCTCAATCAGGATTTTTTTTTCCTGATGAATAACTTTGATGACTTCAGGAACCATGCAAGTATGATCCTCATAGTGATAGAGAGTATCAAAATCTTTGAAATAGCATATCATTAGTCAGTATGGAAATACACTGAGAATCTGAAACTCCTCAGAAAAATGGACCTGAAGAAGGGGCTGCT